TTGACGTCAAGAGTATGGATCAGCAAAAGGCCGTTGACATGCAAGCGCAAATTGTCCAACTGGAACAAGAAATTAGGAGTATTCAAGAGAGAGAACAAAGTTACAAAGCCACCGTAGACGAATACGAGAATCAAATAAAGGATATCAATAACTGGATGGAAACGAGGAACAAGCAAATAACAGAAGTTCAACAGTATCTCAAGGATGCAGAGACTGAAGTTCGAGAACAAAAGAAGGCTTTACTTGAGAATAGGCAGGAGCTCGAGGCTGTAAAAGCTGAAGCCAGTAAGAAGGAAGAAAACCAAAAATCAATAGAGCAGGAGAAAAATCGTTTGAAGGAGACAATGGAAAAGATGGAACAAACCACGAATGAGAAGGATAAGAAAGTGGGTATTTTAAACGTGAGACTTCAAGACGCCGAGAAAGAAATCGAGGACTTGACTACCACAATGGCAACAGTCAATGCAACGCTTCACAAAGAACGTATATCAACGGCCTGCGAGATAGGACACCTTTCAAAGATAATTGAGAATCTGGAGAAGACTAAAGGAGAGTATGACGCGAGGATAGACGACTCAGACACACTGAAAAAGCGTCTCCGGGAGGTGGAGGAGGAGCGGACCGCGGTCATGAATGTCCAAGATGCCATAAAACAGAAAGAGGAAACGATCAGCCGCCTCAGACAAGACATTGAAATCATTAACGAGGGCCACGCAAGCGAAGTCAATCGTCTTACGGAAGAAGTTCGTAAATTGAATAGCCAAATTGAGCACGATCAAAAGGGAGACAGTGGAGTGACTGGTAAGCTACTGCCTCAGTTGAAAATGTCAAGCATAAACTGAACCTTACAGAGATACCACGAGAATCTTTAGACTTCAATGATAAGTCTTGTGCAATTCCAGTAAGGCACGAAGTGGCGCTTCAGGAGCTTGAAAGATGGAAAGAGTCCGGTGACAAGTTAGTTGAATCGCAGAAAAGGATCGACAATGTATACTCGACTATAGAGAGCCTACCATCAAGGCTTGAGCAAGTGCTGACAACACATCAGCAAAGTGCCTCTGGTGGAAACGCAAACTGCGCTTACTTGCAACCTGACTCTGACGCCCAGGCAGTTGACGATGGAATCTTGACCAGATTGGAGATCAAAGTCGAGGATCTCAAGCGCGCCATCGATAAACAACACATACGCAGTCAAGATAATGTTGAAAGCAACAAGATTTGCCACGGTGTCGAAGAAATGAGTAAGCTGATATCTCGTATTAACCAGCAAAGCGAAGAATCGGCGGAAAGACTATGTAAGGAAATAAGTCGCTTGACAGAACAAACGATTCAACTCAACAGCGACATTAAAGAAAAAGATAAACAATACCGCGAGGCAACCAACGAGTTGCTGACACGTGAAATCAACTACGAAGCAGAGGGCAAAAGGCTAACCGAAAGATTACCTGTATTAGAAATAGAACAGCTCAAAAAGCAAATCCATGAGCTCCATGAGCAGGTTCGAGCACTTGGCCCTGAGCTCAAAGACAAAAACCAAGGCCTGGGCACACCGATGAAGGGTGTCTCTGATACCAAGGCCAAAACCATGAGTTGTCAAGGGGACATGAAACATAGGGACATGATTATAGAGAGTCTGCCTTCTGACCTAAAGAATATCATGACAAAGCTCATCGAGATGGAGAAAGCAATGACAAGACAACTGCAGATTACATGCGATGAAAGGAGGAATCCTTCACATTTCACTTCTACGAGAAACTCACAACTGGATGAGAGTAATAACTTCTCCAAGCTGGAGAGTCAGGTAAAGGACCTCGATCGTATTATTGCG